TAAATTTCTTTTATTTGCTTTCTAAGAAGGTATTGTTTCTTATTATCATGAACAATCATGACCCCACTTTTACTTGCCATTATTTTAGGGGTAATATTAGAGTATAAATGGCAATATGGGTCCCATTATTTCTAGTCTACTTGGTCAAAAAAAACAGTAAAATTCGATTTTTTTCAATGTATAGCAATCAACTCATCATAAGTATTTATTTCTTCTCTCTTGCAATCCAGATTATAAATGGCTATTTCAAATTTTTTTTTAATTCCCGAAATAGTTGAAAATTTATTTTGAAGAGAAAGTTCTATTTAAGAAAACCATAAAATAAGAATACTGAATTTTAATATCAGATAATTTCTCGTGCACCACATGGAGGATAGTATATCTGCATAGTAATTTTTGTATAGGTTTTGAATCATTCAAACTATATCCTTTTCTCTTGCGTTTTCCATCTCCATCTATGCATTTATATTGGTCTTGATATATACTACCTGTTCCTGAGTTATTTTTACATATTTCACCTCACAGGAATAGTATCAGCAATTCTTGCCCACACTGAATACATAAAATACTCATATGAAATGTGAAAATGTGTAACAAGTGAAAATATTAATTTTCATTACTCTGCCTTGCATTCTGCTGGACTCACTACAGTTGAAAATACATGCCAAATTGTTTCTAAAGTCTAGCTGTCTTAAAACAAAGTTTCCCATGGGAACAAAGGCTATAAAGTGCCATTGACCTGGTAATAGCCCACACATTTGACAGATGAACCCTAGTGCTCTGTTACAACTGCTCCAGGTTGGACTCAGTTGCTGAGGTATAGGAACTGCGCAGCTAGGAAGCTGAGGATAAGATTTCTCTGTTGCCCAAAAGATTAAAAAATCAGTTCTGCTCCCTGAGTCATGGAAAGTGCCCAAAACACCCTTTTCCTTCCAGAAATAGAATAAAGAAATCTTCCATTTCTACTTTTTATGATGCTCTAAGATAGCTGAACTCTGTTGCGTTTCATAGGATCATTCAGTTAACATTCCTCCTGTAGCTTAAAAAACAGCAAATAAAATAAATTTCAGCTTGGGACATGAGGAAGCCCTACCTCTGCCCACACCTTTTCTTCATATTATTCTGGACATGTGCAGCAAAGCATTCAAAACTGCTCCCTCAGCAGAGAAGTTTACACAGTCCTTAATGCTGTGAAGTCTTGATTGGCTTCTTCCATGTCTTCCTCCGTACCTCTCTCCCAATCCCTGCATCAGCCAGTAGAAGTAAGATACAGACATTTTTACCTTCTCAGCCCCTAAACTTTTCTTTCTCATACAGTATATAGTTTTCCCAGGAGAAATAATTGCACTTTCCATTTCTTGATTATCACTGTTAATTAGAAGCAATGCCACAAATCATAGCTACTTGACTTTGGAAAGCATTATAGTATTTTAACACTGGTTTTGCCTTCATTTTTATGTTTTATATACCATAATGCTCTATTCTTGAAAATACTAATTGATAGAAGTAGTGCATGAGTGCATGAGTGTATAGTATGGGAGGGAGAATGTCAATATGGGGGTGGGGGAGAGTTGCCACATATTCTCCAAAAGGTAAATTGGTCTTTTTTTTCTTTTAACCCCCTCTCCTGGTGGTGTAAGTTTCTTGTTTGCAATGAGGAGCAGGAGTCTGTGTTTGCTTAAAACAGTCGTACCCAGTCGTAAGCAAGTGTAAGAGGCTCCCTGCGTCTTCAAAACATAACTTGAGAAATACCGGACAAGTCTAAGAAACAGTGGTGACCCACTATTAATACACTTATGTTTTGCATACTCAACTTGTGTGAGCATGTGCACATGCATATATTGGGGGTGGTGATAGGAGGTTTGCTCACAAAACACTCCCACTATGACTTACATTATGTTATACCACGACTGGTAATGATTAAACGTAATTCTTTCCTTTGACTGTTTTTTATTTCATTGGTAAAGTAGCTGATAATATTGATTTGCGATGAAAAGAGAGTAATACAAGATATAAGCAGATGGAATCTCCTGTGCCCAGCTTTAACAATACCCATGTTAGCTTGTCCACCTCAGACCTTAGGAAGGCACTGCATCTGAAGGTAAGAGCATAAATGATCTTTTATTCCTTGGTTACTTCACTGCCATATAATTATAGTTTTTTTTAATGTAGATACTTGTTTACAAGAAATAATTGTAGTTTTTTTAGTAGCTACTTGTTTACAAAAAATTGAATTGACATTCTTCATTTATTTCACCAAAAGCATCAGCTTTACCTATAGAACTGTAAATCAGACTGAAAGAGATGACCTACAGATGAAGAACACCTTAGACCATTTTAATTACTTTTCTAAACTATATTCTAAAGAGAAATTCTCAGTTGAGTAAGTCTCCTAAGGAGAGTTTCCTCTGTTAAGTTTCCTTAACTTAATGTAACTTAATGTTACATTAATGTTAATTTAATGTAATTGGTCTTCCTGAATAGAAGAAAAATAATTTCTGTAAGTAGTTTAATGTAAATATTTTTGCTGACTACATCCTTAAAAATGAAATACAGTATTACCTGTAGATACTGCAAAGTTTAAAGTGGGACTAAGTGTTTTCATGTGTAGAATTACAGTTTGTCTCTTCTCCCTTTGTGGCTTTACTATCCTCAGGATAAACTGGACTTGTTTTGATTATCCCAGGCAATGAAATATTATGGTGTGTTCCTAGAACTATTTAGCATTTCATTTTTTAAATGAAATGTGGAATTAACATGAGAAAAGTGAGTATTAATATTCCTTTAAAAATGCTATCAAGGATTTATTCCTAATTAACATTAAAACTTTACCCCACTTTCTCTTTTGCATCATATGACCTCACTACATTGCCAAGGAAGTGAAATTTGGATTCCTCACAGTGTTCTCAGAACACAATACAAAAACATTGTCAGCTAAATTTCCATCATGTCCTGGTAAAATTGCTCAGTAAAATGTAATTAACCATCTAGTTATTAGGAAGCAATTCAAATAATCTGTCCAGTTTACATAATTTAAAAACAAATCTTTACATTTAGCAATACCTTAGAAATGTTCTTAATATAAACTACTCATTAAAATGTGTATATTACTTTCTACCAGAAACTGTATGTTAGAGTGAGTAAAAGACATGCTGTTGTTTCCAGTATGGAAAATGGAAAAGTCTTTATTCATAGAATTCTTTATTCATGATAGCTATGAGCTGATCGGATTGTTTAATTTACCTAATTGTGATTGTAAGAACTTAGTATGTTTTTTTACCACATGTGTTAAATTGTTACCTATAATGTCATCCTGGAAAAATAGAATTATTTGTAAGGTTTTTACAAATGCACAAATTACGTATAAATATAATTGGAATCTGGGATGATTCTTAGTGATCTACTATCCTTAATTCACCATGGCCATCAGCTACCTGACACATTCTGTGAATTTAGCATGCATGCGTGTGCACGTGCATGCATGCATACATGGCCATTATTGCATTTATTCTCAAATGGAGTTATCACTTAATGTCTTTGTACAAATACCTGGACTATTCATGTAATGGAAATGGAAGGTTGCCATAAAAATGTACGTAAATGTCCCTTAAAATTAGCACCTGTTTTCACACTTAATTTTAAAAATACAACTTTTCATTTACAGCTTCTACCCTTTCATTTCTAGCCTCCGCTTTATTACTTATAGAAAAAGTAAGGAAAATTATTCATTGGAAGCAAGCATAAGTGTTTCTGAATGATAAATCAAAATCCACTAATGTGGATCTGTGTATATGACTGAGGTAGACAGACATTATGCCTAACATAAAAACCAGGGGTCTGTAGTATCAAAGAATTGATATGCATTAAGAAAAGGCTATATGTGGCTGGTTCTAGATAACTAAACCAAATACCAAAAATAATTAATATGGTTATCAAATATCTGTTAATGGATAATAGTTTTATATTTTATTCCAAACAGCATTATACATAATGTGGAAATCTGAAGCAATTATGCAGGTAATTTATGCAAAACTATGCTTCTCCTCAAGTGCATTTATCTTTCTGATGAATTGTACAGATGGTTGTCTCAGTTCACCACTGTCCAAAAAAAGATTCTGAAGTAGGTCCTGCACACTAGATAAATAAAAATGTAGGAGGAGGAAGATCTATAACTGAGATTAAAAATTCATCCTAGATATAAATTAAATATATAAATCTTTTTCTAATAAATTCTTTAATACTGGTTCCACAGTATTTAAGAGCATTTAAGTATTAAGTGTTTCTAGTATTCTGGTTTTGATCCAAACAAGGCTTTCTAGTTCAGCAATGCAGCACATTTGTACATAGTGCTTAGAAAGGAAAATGCTATAAATTCCAATGGCCAGACACCTTCCTGAGCCAACATTTACCTCAAGTAATTTGTCAGGCAATTGTAGCAAGGTGTCTAGATTTCTGGGAGATGGAGGGGTGGGTAGCAAGGCAACTGAAGGGTCCCTTAATTTAAAACAGGTAGGAGTCCTATAACTAAGATAAGATTTAACATAGATAAATAAAAGCCAGCAGAATCAGTTTAATTCCCCCTCAGCTCCTCTTGGTGAATGAGATAATAGTCTAAGAGTCCAAAATGAAGGAAAAGGGGTTAGAGTGTCTGCATACCCAGCCCCAAATAATATGTATCAAGTATCAAGTAAAAGTCATCGAGTATTTGTTCTCATAGCTCAATGTGTTCTTTTTTTATGTTCCAGTAAATCTTTATTTACACAAGTAGGCATGTGATTCACCAGCTATAGGTTGCTGACTTATGCTATATAACAACAGTGTTATCACAACTAAAGTTAACAAAATTCCCTAATATTATCTAACAACCAATCTATATTTAATTTTTGCAGTAGCCCCGAAATGCCTGTGTTGTATTTATTGGATTTGTTCCCACTTGTAACAAGAAATAATTAAAATACATCACTGTATAAGGCGTACAGCATGATGGTTTGATTTACGTATATTATGAAATGATTACCAGAATAGGTTCAGCTAACATACAGATACAATAAAAAGAAAAGAAAGGGAAAAAATTTTGTCCTTGTGATGAAAACACTTAGGATTTACTCTCTTAATAACTTTCCTGCATAGTACACAGCTGTGCTAGCCATAGTCACCATGTTATACATTACATCTCTAGTACTTATGTATCTTATAACTGGAAGTTTTTACCTTTTGACACTTTCCTCCAATTTCCCCTTACCCCCACTCTCAACGTATTCTTAAAAGTAAAGAAACACTTTACACCAAAAGAGGCATAAAGATTTATAAAGAAATTCCAGAAGTTTTACTCCCTACACAAATTGTCTGATGGGAAATAGGGCATCCCTTTATGGAAAGATCTAGAACCAACAGACATTGTACACATAAATGTTTAGCTGTCCCCCAGTTTGCAAAGCTTCCCTTGAAGTATGTGTTGGGCTCTGCTTGGCTGTAGCTGCTCTTCTCAATGTACGGTGGTCTCAAATTTTCCTCACAAGATTGTGTCTTTGCGTCTTACAGCACGTAATTCTTGAAGGTAATAGGGAGGAACCTCTTGATGTCTAGTCATGTCACATGAAAAAAATTGCATTTAAATGTGCTTGCAATTTAATCTCAATTATTGCATATAATATATAAATTAGTATATGTTGTATAAAAGAATTCAACATGGCTTATTTATGTAAATATTGTTTCAGAGAAAGAAATGGCTTAAGAATTGTAAAGTCAAATGTATTATTCTCTATATAGTCTTTTGTGGTGCTCACTGTTTTGTCTTCAAGTTAGTTATTATTCACTTGTGACTGAAGAGCTATTACACATACTAAATGGTCTCAAAATTGTTATAACAGAACATATTGTTAATCACGGAAAGTGATATTAATTTTAATTTTGAGAACTCAGCATGCTATTACAACAAGCAGTTACTAGTCAAATTTTTATATATTTACTTCGTTAGTTGAGAAGTATTTACCTCAACATACTTTGTGATTCAATGAAAAAACCCCAGGGAGCTAAACTTGTATCTATTAAAAAAGGAGAATCCAATTAACACATTAAAAAATATAGGGCATATGTGAAAGTGTTAAATGAAAATAGAAGCATTAGCAATTGCAAGAGATCCATCTTACCATAAAAGTTCCCAGATTCAAAATTGAAGTGCTCACTATAACAGTTACTAATAAGAAATTTATTGGACCAAATAAATAACTAAATCAAAACCAACATAGGAGCCAAATCTAATTTGCACCAAAGATAGATTTGTAAATCCATTGCCAGTGTGTCTAGAGATAATTACTCCACAAAATCAGACCATAACCAAATTCTCAATATTGACTCATCAGAGTTTAAAATTCAATCCATTTAGCAAAAATACCATGTGAAATCGAGGCAGTGCAATAATCTCAGGCTTTTCTCAAAAATAGTAATCTTGCTGAAAGATTTCTGGGTGCAAAATTACATGGTCCAGTAAAGCTCACTTTAGAATGTAAAGCATGCAAAGCCCAAATCTCTATAGAACTTGTATGCCATGAGTATCTCTAAAATGAGCTTCTTAAATCATCTCAGAGGGGAAATGGTCCAGGGTGAACAGAGGTCTGGCAAGCTGTCTCTGATTACCTCACTTCCCAGATGATTTAAAACCTTGTTGTTTGGAAAGGTATTTGCTACCATATTTTCAAATGCTAGAAAGATTTGCATGCTTCTGTGTAAAAGAGAGTTACTGAACTGTGTATTTGCAAAAATGAATAACAGCAAGTTTTTCCTTCAAGTAACCAGAAATATTGTGTTGTTTTGCTCTGGCAGTAGGCACTTCAGAAAACATGAAATACAGATTGGAAAATTTTATGTTCCAGAAAACATAGATGTTCATTTGAAATCTGTTTAAAATAAAATATCTTTCTGGTTTACTTGGCAGTACTGCTTCTCATCATGTTTATACTGGGCCTCAAAAAGGAGGTTCTGTTCATCCCACTTGTGCATTAAAGTGACACTGGAAATGTATGAGTTTATCCAACTGAAGAGGAGTTTTGGAGCAGATAAATTATTAAATCAGATATCTTCATTGTCGTTGGACGAATAGATGTTCTTATCCTGTGAAAAGTAATGAGAGGAAGGGGAAGTGGGGATGGCAACAGGGGGAGCTCTCATGTTCTCCTGCTAATTGTCAATTGGAGACCCTCCACAGGAAGAGACCTACCTTGCGTTTCTGATAGGAAGAAGCCACCACTTTACTACCCCAGCGGAAGGAAGAAAGGTTTTCTTCTTGCCCCGCAACAGCCTAGCCAATGAAAGACTGTCAAAACACAACCAATGAAAAGCCACTACACTTCGAACTCCCAGTTGACTCCAATAGATTTTTTTGTTTATAATGGCCCCTCCCAACTACCCCATTTCCTCTAAAAAAGAGTGTTCCTCTCCTCTGTTCTCAGGTCTTGCCTGTGATTTTGCCATGGCTTGCAGGTCCTGAATTGCAGTTCTCTGCTATTCCCAAATAAACCCATTTTTACTGGTAAAATAACTGATAGGTTTATTTTTATGGGTAACACTCCTAATGAGTAGAAAATTGGCATTTACCAAGATGAGTAATTAATCATAAACTGCTACATAAACTTCAGTTCAGAAGTTAAAGTCATACAGCTAATTCCTAACTTATTGTGCAGATTCCTTCTTGCCATAGATGAAAATGTATACCATAGGCTTTATATTATACATCCCTTTGTGGTGATCTTGATTCCACTTGCCAAAAATAAGCTACATGATTCCAACTGTTTTTCGATACAAATGCCAATAATTAAGACACTTCATATCTATTTCTGGCATAAGAACCTATACACAAAAGAGACAAAGAATTCAGAAACTAGGGACTTCACCAAAAGAGATTTTTAAAATATCTGAGTAATTTTGGCTTTGGAGAGAGAGAGTATACATGTGCAGTGATTTATTAACATATTTCAGCTTTCAAACTCTTTAGAGTAAATGCTTCTTTACTTCATAAGTTGAATTTATATTTTACCATTTGTTTAAAAGATGAAAATGAACTTAAATATTCAAAATGTGCTTAAGAGTTCAAGACATTCCTTACATAGCTACTTGGCTACTAATTTTTATCTTCAGTGATTATGTTAAAAGAGTATACAGAAAATTTTTTCAGACTCAAATACAAGACAGATACGAGATGTAAAAGAACTGGTTTCTGAGGATGTTTGTATGTCGAACTGTTTGAAGTGGCAAGTATAGTTTGTACAATTCTGGAATGCAAACAAAGAATTATAAGATTAGTTCCCCATTAGGAATTCTTCATTCTCCTAAGATATTTAGCCAGTGCACTGAGATGTGAAGGTGGCTGTGTGGAGTTTCCTTTGACCTTTACATCCAGAAGAGATGAGGCTAGAGGAGGAGTCTTACTGCAAAGAGCCAAGACATTTATTTGTAAGGTTGGCTCCTCCATCTTCCTTTGAAAGAATTCCATTTGCTCACCGGGCCTGAGCACAACACTCCCTTTCCTTCAGCTAAAAGTTTGACAGCCTCTGCCTATGTCACAAGGACTCATTTCTCAAGCGAAGTTTAAGGCAAAGGGTATAATTAAGATGGGGGTGGGGACGGAAACTTCAAAAAAAGGATTAAAAAAGACACCTATTTTCCTTTCACAGTAGAAGAGTGCATAGAGAATACTCTTGCAAGTCAATGAAGAAATTAATTAGTTATCCAATCATGCATTATCTTGATCAACTGAAATCTAACTTGCTCAGCAAGTAATTCACGTAAGTTTTGTGAGTAGAATTGCATTAAATCCTCTCTCTCTATGTATCTACTTCTCTCTCTCTTATCTCATTTGGGAATTCTATTATCTCTAGTACCTACAGTTAGTCCTTGTAGTTAAGGTACTACTTAGAATTATTGAAGAGTTAATGCACCTTCATGAGTAGATAATAGTTTAAAAGGATTAATGTGGCTCTTGAAACACCTACTTTATTCCTCAAGGAGTAACTTAGGCACAGGGAAAAAAAAAAAAAAAGTCCAATCCTTTTTGGAATATTATTAAGACAAAAAAGACTCCAGGAAAACACAGTTAACTAAAAGCCAAGTCAATACAGATCTTAAACTACTATGGCAAGTGGTAATGGCATCTCACAATTGCTGTAATTTTTTCTATGATGAATGATTACATTTTGATAAAAGAATTCATTTCACCATTAAGCAGTTTTTCAAGATGTTTTGTTTTGGGGCTAGCCATACTCCTCATCTCTATCACAAGACCCACTGTGTACATGCAAGCCAGTTGTCAGTAATCTTTCGCAATCTGTTCCTACTTGTTTCACTCCCCATTGGTCCCTGGAGACCTGTTAGAGAAACAATGTTAGTAAACACTGATCAGGTTGTTCCTTGAGTCAATACAGGACAAGTTAGCAGCTACTTAGAATGAACCACAACTGCCTCCCTGGCACCAACCCCCTCTGTTGTGTTAGTTCCCACAGAAACCTAAAAAACCTATTTAAATCTTACTTTTAACTTCTAATTCCTTATTGGCATTTTTAGGAATTTATAGTTTATATTGTGTAAGCTTGGTTTTGTTTTGGGGGGGTTTTGTTTTGTTTTTACTTTTACTTGCCTGTCTGGGTTTTAGCAGATTTTAAGGAAAGGAACAAGGAAAGCGTTCTGTGATTGGTAGAAAATGAGAGTGAAACAACCAGCTGATTACATTTTGTTTTTCTTAAATGTGATCTGTTTTCTCCTGATAAATGTTAGGCATGCACTATCAGGTAGGCATATGATCCTTGAAGTTCACTCTGCTTTTTAATAGCATATTACAACACTGAAATGTCTATTAATATTTTATATATTAGTTCTAACGGAATTTTCTGAAAGTGTAGTAACACTTTTAGTCAAATACTTCTCAATGTTTTGAAACAATAGGGGAGATCAGAAGAGGGAAAGAGCATGCCCACTCATCTTTAATTATTGGTCCTTTACATGAATGAAGTAGGACCTGATTGTCTTATAACAAGCCACATTCACTTCTTCAATCAACAGTTCCTAAATACGATTTGTAGTAAATGTATTCAGGTTTCTAAGACTCACAAAAATCTGTAAATATAATTTAAATCTATAAATAATTTAAATTTTAGATGCATGCTCATTTCATCTATGAACTTTTTTTCTGTGAATCTCATTCATCAAAACATGCCAATACAATATTTTTCATCCATTCATTCATTCATTCAGTTACTTCAACCCCTGATATGGGGGGAAGGGGCACTGTTGGTGTGAGGCAATTATACCTAGTTACAACTGATTAATTCATTGTATGGCTTTCAAAAATTAAAATAGTATGTTCTTAAGGAAAATAATTAAATCACAATCATATTTCTGAAACTTGAGTATTTAATGATTGTTTACAGTAATTAATAGCTTATGTCCATGAGGTAAGACTTCCTCCTTCACAGGTAGGAAAGTAAAATTAACTAGGGAGTATGCTGATTAAAATGGGGTGATCTTACTGTGTCCCAAACGACTCACATGTCCACCCAAAGGCTAAAACTAAAGGGTGGGGGTAGGCCAGGTAGAGAGTGCATGAAGAGAGCACCTCTGGCCAGAATGGCAGACGTGTCTGCCGGGCACAGAATGAGTATCACACGCTCCTTGCCAAAGTCACCTCCCTCTCCCTGAATATGTGTGAGAGCATAGAGGCTCTCTAGAAATATGAGCATTAGTATATTTCCAGTGGATGACTGACATCAAAGAGCAGTAAAGTTCTTGAAATTTTTAAAGCTTTTATGTTTTGTTTCCTTGTTTTCAACCATTTTATTGAGGTAAGCTTGACAGGTAAAAAGCTGTATATTTAATATATACAACTCAATGAGTTTGAAGATAAGTACATGCCCTTCCTGCCCCTTTATTATTATTATTTGTGTGTATGTATGTGGTAAAAACACTTAACAGAAGATATACCCTCTTAGAAAAATTTAAGTCCCTAATACAGTATTATTAGCTGTAGGCACAATACTGTATATCAGATCTCTAGACTTATCCTGCACAACCAAAACTTCCTACCCTTTGGACATCACTTCCCCATTTCCCCCTCACCCCAACCCCTGATTATCACTACTGTACCCTCTGTTTCTCTCAGTTTCACTATTTTAGATTCCACATATAAGTCTAATCATGCAGTATTTGTTTTTCTGTGTCTGGTTTACTTCACTTAGCATAATATCCTCCAGATCCATCTATGTTGTTGCAAAGAGCAATATTTCCTTTTTTTTAAGGCTAAATAATTTCCCATTGTAATACAAATAACATTTTTAAATCTATTCATCTATGGGTGGACATTGAGGTTGTTTCCGTATCTTGGCTCTTGTGAATAATGCTGCAATGAACGGAGGAATGCAGGTATCTCTCTGGGATCCTGATGTCAATTCCTTGGGATAAATACCCAGAATTGGGATAACTGGACAATATGTAGTTTTATTTTTAATTTTCTGAGAAACCTAAATATGATTTTCCATAATGGTGTACCCATTTACATTCTTACCGGTAGCGTACAAAGTTTCCCTTTTCTCCACATCCTTGTCAGCAATTTTTTATCTTTTCTTGTTGTTGTTGTTTTAATAAGTAACATCCTAACAGGTGTGAGGTGATAGCTTATTGAGTTTTGATTTGCATTTCCCTGATGGTGAGTGATGTTGGGCACCTGTTGGCCATGTGCATGTCTTCTTCAGGTACTTTGCTCACATTTTAACCAGGTTTTCAGATTTTTTTTTTTGGTAGAAATTCCTTTTATGTTTTGGATATTAACCCCTATCAGATCTATGGTTTGAAAATATTTTCTCCCATTCTGTAGGTTACTTTTCCGTGTTGTTGATTGTTTCCTTTGCTGTGCAGAAGCTTTTTAATTTGATATAATCCCACTTAATTATTTTGCTTTTGTTGCCTGTGCTTTTGGTGTCTTAACCAAGAAGTCATTGCCAAGACAAAGAGCTTTTACTCTATATTTTCTTCTAGGAAAATGTTTAAGTGAATGAATGAATACGTTTAAGTGAAACAAAACATAAAAATTTGACTCCCCCCAAATGGGAAGATGAAGATATGTTCCTAATAAGGAATATGTGTAACCTCTAGGAAAAAAACCAAAAAGCAAAAAAACAACACCCGCTCAGATGAAGCACCTAAGAGGTAATGAGAGCCAGAAGTGACGTGATTAAATATGTTCCCAGCTTGATGCGTTAAGCCTATTCATATATTTAACAAGAATTTTTAAAATGCCTATATCTGTATAAGACTTTTATCCCCTTGACATTCTGAACTTTTACTGTGTCTAAGCTCCAAAACTCTGACCTGGTGAAGTTGCTAATAATATTTCAAGCACTGAGGTATTAAAGCATAAAAATATATTTTATGACATCATCATGTTCTTGTGGAGATTGTCTATTCTTTTTCATTCATTTGAAGAGAATTTTAAATGTCCATGTCAGGGAAGAAAGCTACCTTAAAAATACACTGATGGGGGCGCCTGGGTGGCTCAGGTGTTAAGCGTCTGCCTTCGGCTCAGGTCATGGTCCCAGGGTCCTGGGATCGAGCCCCGCATCAGGCTCCCTGCTTCGCAGGAAGCCTGCTTCTCCCTCTCCCACCCACCCTGCTTGGGTTCCCTCTCTCGCTGTGTCTCTCTCTGTCAAATAAATAAATAAAATCTTAAAAAAAAAAAGTTAATAAAAAATACACTGATGTAGTAATGAGACTTTAATACCTGAAATGTTTAGAAAATGAAGACGACATACTGATGAGAAAAAGATGTCACAGGAAAGTAATTTTAATGAAAAGGTCTTAAAATGCCCATTGTCTAATAAGCGATGCAGTGGTAAACATCAGACTTGACAGAATCTGATTTTTTTTAAGATTTTATTTATTTTTTTAAGAGAGAGAGAGAGCATGAGCAGGGGGAGGGGCAAAAGGAGAAGCAGACTCCCCGCTAAGCAGGGAGCCTGATGTAGGGCTTGATCCCAGGACTCTGGGATCATGACCAGAGCTAAAGGCAGATGCTTAACTGACTGAGCCACCCAGGCGCCCTCAGAACCTGATTGTTTTTGGAGATAGGGAAAGAGGCAGAGGAGGCAGTTGCCCGATCATATAGGAGATTTTAGAAATAAATCCTTTGACAGTCATTTTTAAAAATCTTCATTGATTTGTCTATGATTTATTATGGACATTTTTCTTTACTTGGTTGTGCAATTTGTTCTGAACTAGACTACAGTTAATTTGATGTACTGTATATCTGCACAGAATCATCAAATGTAGATATGTATGTTGTTTTTGTGCTTGAATTCACAGCTTTTATATAGTTTTGTATTTTACTTTGACAACATTTTTGGAATTACACCAGAGTTAATGTATATAATTTAAACTGTTTTAAGACAAAAAAATTTTTAAGTTGGGCTTTATTGATGAAGACTTCTTTAAACGACTAAAATTACATTTTTTATGTTTAACCATTCTCTATACATATACATTTACCTGTTTCAGTGATACTTTTGTCTGCAATTTTGGATATGTTTTAGAATAAAGTTTCACTTTACAAAAAAATTTTGATAAAATATGCTGAATTTCTGGAGTTATAATTATTTTTCAAAAAACAAACTCTTAAGGATAAAATAAGTTTCAAGTTAATTATGAAATTAAGAATATAATCATGGCAATATTGTAAAGAATAATAAATAAAATAGTACAAAATATCTGGAAAATTATTGTCATAATCTCAAGCATTAAATTGACTCTGAAGTCAGGTTCAGTTCCTGGCTTCACCATCTCCCACCATGTAGCAAGATGTTTATTTTCTCAAATATAAAATAGGAATTATTAATAGTACCTACAACAATCCATGCAGGGTCTCATGACAATTATATGAAATCATGCATATAAATCACCTTGTATATTGTTTGGCACACACAACTATAAATATTACTAAGATTACTAATAATAAAGTGTAATTATTCTTTATAATTAGAAAATACTGAAAAAAAGATTCTTAGATTGATTCAATTATATGAATGAATATCTACCACTTGCCAAAAAAAAACAAAATCTCAAATTATACATGCATATTTTCTCTGAAAACCAACTGGTAAATTTCCTTTTTTTAATTTGAAAAAAAATTAATATTTTGCTCTATTTCAGCCTATGAAATACACTGGCTGACTAAGAATTTACAACTTCAAGTATCTTTAATTAAAAATCTCATGACACATATAGACCTAAAGAATCACATTCTAAGTAGATTTAGCTCTTTAAAAACTTACCTAGCTAAATTGTCTTTCATATTAAAATCAGGTATAGACAATTAATCAGAAGTCTCAGAGACCTAATTTGCTATTACTTTGCTTTTTGAGAAAGAAGCGGAAAAGTAAGCTAATATAAAAAATCTAATAGAGCTATATATTTTGTAGGTTATGTTCTGGATTCCAGGTTAGATTTGGTCTAATCACAACATATTCTACATCTATATTCTGTGCATTAATCATTGAGGTGGCGAAAGTTCCATAAGTATGAAAGATTTTACATTTGTTATTCTACAGACTATACCAAGAAAGTGGGCCAAGAAAGTACTTAAGTTCAGCAGGTACTGAGGTTTAAAAAGGGGCCTTTCTTAGCCCTCTAATATCAAGAAATCCAGTTAGCTAATCTGCCCAATGTTTGCATTACTGCCTCCCACTCTTATCCTGGGTCTCAGCGCAATGGTCCCCTGCCCCAGAGCTCTCCTTCCTGACCCCACAGCCAGAGCTGCCTGCCCTCACCCCATTTTGTGTTTTATTTTCTTCATAGAATTTATTTTGATGTCAAATTATCTTACTTTTTAGTTCATCTGTGTGTTTATCCTTGGTCTTTTCTCACTGGAATGTGAGCTCTCTGACTGCCTTGCTCATTACTGTGCCTAGACTAAGAGCATCTGCCACGTAGTAGGGGCTGAATGAATGAAAGCAGTGGCTGAACATGAATCACTAAACAGTAGGTGTGCAGTCTCAACATTGTTCTCGATTGCTGGGGCTTGGGAGCCGGAGGTGGAAAAAATCCCACATAATTAGATTACCACCGTTGTTTCCCAGACACCTGTCCCTATGTCATGGAACAATGAAGTAGCAATGCCCTTACAGAAAAAGGGGCCTCTGCCCTGATCCCACACTTTAAGGGCTCCATGTATCACTAGTGCACTCACCCAAATGTACATTAGGACATGTAAGAGATATTCTGCCTCTTTGGATCAGGCCCACAGCACTGATATGGCATGATCCTTAAGCCTAAATGCCCATCTGATGGGTAATACTGTCCAGGCCCTAGGAAAATGCCTCTCCACCTTGCTTGCCTTACGTTCTCAATCAAAAGGGGGCTGTGTTTGAATTTAATAAAGGTTTCTTTGTTTTCAGTATCAGCGATAAACACTGCTTTAGAGAGTCTGAGATTCTGAGTGGGAGAATTTCTCAGGTAAGTGAAATGAGAAATTAACTCACTTGACCAAACTTTCCTGTGGGATGGTTATGTATGCTATAGATTCTATGGCATGCCAAGATATTTCCCAGGAATGCTATCTTTTATCCCCCCTCTAGTTCTAATGCCTGACTCTGGAGACCTTGGGAATTGAGGCAGTACTTACAACAGTGGTGCATAGTGGCCATGTAATATGGAACAGTTACTCACCCCAACATCACCAGCCCAACCACAGAACAGACATGTATGACAATAATTAAATTCGGCTATATTTTACATTTTGCCAACTCTCTATTTTGTCATCATGAATGTCTATGTTTAAGATGAGATGATAGCACATATTTTATTAACGATTTGCTCACTTGATTTATAGCCTTAAATATTTAGACATATGGTGTGTGGGCCTCCATTTGGACCCTTGCTGTAAGACCCACAACTTTTAGAGACAGGACTATAAATGAAGAGAATGTGTCCACTCTGGATCCCTGTTCTGGTTACTATTACTGCATAACAAATTACCCCCAAATTCAGCGGCTTACAACAACCATTTTATTATGAAAACAACTGTGTATCAGGAATATAAAAACTCTTTGGCTGGCCAGTTCTTGCTTGGGGTCTCTCATGCACTTGCAAGATGTCAACTGAGCTCTGTCTTTCTCAAGGCTTGATCAGATTGGTTATCCAAGAGGGCTCATGCAGATGATTGACAGGTAAAGCCATCAGCTGGGAGCTGAGCCAGGAATGTTGACCAGAGGCCTACCACATACCTCTTGGGCATGGCACTCTCAAGGCCCTTGGATTTTACAGGGCAGCTGGCTGCCCCGAGAAAGAGCCCCAAGAGAACCAGGCAGAAACTCATGGCATTTTATGACCAAGCCTTGGAAGTCACATAATATCACAGAGTCACAAAGTGTGTGCCTTATTGTACGAAGCTGTCACAAGCCTCCCCAGATTTAAGGGGAATGGACGCAGATCCATCATTCAATGGAGGCGTTTCAAGTCCCCATTCTTCTTAGGTTATTATCTTAGTCTTTTATAGGGACAAGAACTGACCTCGATCTGTTTGACACTGCTTTGTGTACCCAATAGCACCCATGTAGGGCATGTGAGGTGAGGCCCAGTGCCTGATTTGAGGACACACTGATGACTGTGTACGTTTCTGTATCTCTAGCACAATCAGCTGCATGGCTGAAAAATTGATTTCAAAATTGCTGTAAGAAAAAACTATTTCCAATATAATGTTTCCTTTGTTTTATTAGGATGCTACAAAGGGTACAATCCAACATCATTATACAAGTATATCACCTATCTGAGAAGAATGACTTAAAGGAAAAGTATGATACTATGAGCTGGATCACTCACCTGATATGAGCTAAAAATGAGCAGCTCTTATGTCACTCAAAGATTGAAAAAGTAAAGAAATGAATATTTTCATAGGAAATAAAAGAAAAAGAACTGCCAGCAATTGTGTAAGAGCATTGGGTAGTGTATCAGAAATCTTTTGGTTACACATGACAGATAACCAAACTCAAAGGGTCTTAAAGCAAAAAGAGGGGGAGGGAGAATAGGAGGGGACAAAGGAAAGACTTATTTGTTCATGTAACTGGAAATCTCCAAACGGTTGCTTTCAGGTGAAGCTTGATCCAGCAGTTCAACAACATTACTGAGAACTTGCCTTTCCCCATAGTCTTCTACATGCCTGAATGCTCTTGTATGGCTCATTGGTAATTTTTAAAATTTCTCTAGCTTCCACTATCCATTCCTAATCAGAGCTTGCTTTCCTTTTGGAGAATAACTGTTTGTGGTTTTTTTTTTTTAAGATTTATTTATGAGAGAGAGAGAGAGTACATGTGCACATACACAAGTGGGAGAAAGGGGCAGAGAGAGAGAATCTCAAGTAGACTCCACACTGAGCACAGAGCCCAATGTGGGGCTCAATCTTACAGCCCCGAGTCAAAATCAAGAGCCGGACACTTAACTGACTGAGCCACCCAGGTGCCCCTGGAGAATAACTGTTTAATCTTAGTGAGAAGGTAATTCCAGGACGTCTGGGTGGCTCAGTCAGTTAAGCATCTGCCTTTAGCTCAGGTCATGATCCCAGGGATGGAGTCCTGCATCAGGCTCCTTGCTCAGTGGGAGCCTGCTTCTCCCTCTGCCTGCCACTCCCCCTGCTTGTGCTCTCTCTCTCTCTGACAGATAAATGGTGGAATCTTCAAAAGAAAAAAAAAAAAAAAGAAGCTAATTCCAGGCACCTGTCTCACCTCTACTGAAACTGAGAGAAACAGACTTCACTCCTCCCTGTACTCTTCCTGAGCCCTAGGGTCACGAACAGACATACGACTTAAGCTTAATCAGGTAAATGTTCTATCTTGGGACTTTAGATCTTGACCATGGTCCACAAGGAAGGAGCAGAGGCAAGCCATACCAGAATCTTCTTCTTCATTTTTTTTTTTAAGATTTTATTTATTTATTTGACAGAGAGAGACACAGTGAGAGAGGGAACACAAGCAGGGGCAGTGGGAGAGGGAGAAGCAGGCTTCCTGCTGAGCAGGGAGCCCGATGTGGGGCTCGATCCCAGGACCCTGGGATCATGACCTGAGCCAAAGACAGACGCTTAACAACTGAGCCACCCAGGCGTCCCCAGAATCTTCTTAATAAGCAACTTCGCTGTGCTTCCCAGCTCCGAAACATAGCCTGATTCTCCATATCTAGTCAATTGTTAGAGTCCCAGAAGCATTCTCCCTTGCTTAGGATGCTTAGGTCCTGCTGCTTGATTGCCAAAGCAGTGAAGACTTTTGGAGCATGGCCATGCAGAGGAGATCTTCCCTTTTCTGTGTTCCCATGGCACTGTGTATTGTATCTTTTTTTTTTAAGATTTTATTTATTCATTTGACAGAACAAGAGAGCAGGAGAGTACTAGCAATGGAATCAGCAGAGAGAGAAGGAGAAGCAGGCCCCCTGCCGAGCAGGGAGCCTGACACTGGGCTCCATCCCAGGACTCTGGGATCATGACCCGAGCCGAAGGCAGTCGCTTAACTGACTGAGCCACCCAGAGGCCCCTGTGTATAATATCTTTTGATATGCCCTTATCACATTACACTCTGATTTATCCGTCTGTGTTCCCTACCAAACTGAGAGCTCCCTAAGAACAGGGGTCTTAGCTTATGCTTAGCCCAGTGTCTGGTCAATACTAGGCATATAAAATAATGTGTTAAATTAATTAAATAATCTACTTGGAGAGAAAAGACATGCTTGTATTAAATGATTCTAAAATTTAAGGCAGTATATTATTAAGCAGAAAGCATAGGGCTCTTTACAAAGTGTGGAACTGCCAGGAAGAACATTTTTAGGCTGTTTTATGAAATGTTGTTGCACGCTCTTTGTTTCCCACTAAAAGGAACAAGGCTTCCTTCAAGAAATGCCTAGTTCTAGGGCTGAGGAAAGAAAAAATACAAGATGAGCCTGGAACATCTGTTTGTATTGGAGAATGAAGAATTATAAAAGAATAAAACAGATATCTCAACAACAACAACAACAACACAGAAGCCAGCTTGAGGGGATTTCTTCTGGCCCAACTGAGGACAATTTGAGCATCAAAATAAATAATGATAATAAGAGAGTATAGCCCATTGAATAAAATAGGAAACCATGAGTCCACAGAGATATAAATAAGTTAATGTATGAATTGAAAGCTTAATAAAGAATAAGATATTTAGATAGTGTTAAAGTACCTCCACACAAAATGCTTATAAATTACAAAGGGGAAATTTTCTGGAGGAAAGCCTGCAAGCAGCACTTTAATCAAATGACTAAATTGAACATCATCAAAAATGGGACAGATTAAAAATGGGCATTACCTGATAATGCACAAAGAACGCAGCATCATTTTGTGACATTCCTGCTAAAGATGCATAAACTCTACTAGTTATGAGGAGATGTCAGACAACACCCAAATCGAGGGTCCTTCTACAAAATAACTGCCCTGTAGCCTTCAAAAGTGGTAAGGTCATGGGGAAAAAAAAAAAAAAAGACTGAAGACTCCTTTCAGACAGCAGGAGACGAAAGAGAGATAATCACTGTATCTAACACAAAGCATCGTTAGGACAACTGGTGAAACATAAATGAGTCTGAGGATTAGTGGTAATAAAGTGTTTAGGTTAACTTCCTCACTTTGACAGTGTATTCTGGTTCAACAGGAAAATGTCTTATTTATAGGAAATTCACACTAAAGTATTTGGGACCATCGGGTTGGCAACTTACTCTCAAATATTTCAGGGAAAAATAAGTTCTTTGTATGGGTACTTCCAACTTTTCTGTAAGTTTGTGATTGTTTAAAAAACATGTACACAAATCAAGATTGACCTTCAGTCTAGTAGATGGTCAACTGTAGGATATAATCTGAGGAGCTGCCCACAGCCATCAGCATGTTTCTATCCGTATTTATCAGTCTGTTTCATCCTTATTAGAACAATGTGTGTTTCTATCACACTTTCCTATGTTATCTGCTAAACTACGAATTCTATAAAGTCACAGACTCCTTCTGTTTCACTCACCATTTCATGTATCCAGTGCCTAGAACAGTCCCTGGGACACAGTAGGCACTCATGAATAGGCACTAAATGAGTGAATAATGAATGAACGAACGAACGAACGAACGAAGTGGCTTAGACTAGAAGAAGCATGGCCTTTAGAGTTAGAAAGATCTGTGTAAACTCCCATCTCTCCTATTTCCTAATTGTGCAATCCTGACCCCATTGGTCAACTTCTCAGCCTAGCTGAGACAACAGCCAGACTACTGGATTTGAATCCTGGCTTTATGACTTCCTTGTATGGTCTTGGGTAAGTTGCTTCAGTTTCCTCATCTATGAAATAGCCATTATAATAGTTCCCCACTTCACAGGGCCGTGGAGCATGTTAGGAGTATTTATTACATTATCTGGGCTTGAGTTCTCAACTCTAAAAAGGAATTATTACTTTCAGGGTTGTGAGGATTAAAGGACCCTCAGTAAATAGTGTTTATCATGATTACATTTGTTATCAAATTACAATCTTATGAAGTAGGGAGAGCATCCCCCTTTTATAAAAACAAGAAAACCTAATGACACAAATCAGCTGAGTGACATATTCAAGATCAACACCAGCAAGAGGAGAGTCCAGCTCAGACACAAACACATCTCTCTGGACCCGAGGCTGTGGCTCTTTCTCCTGTGTCACTAAATCCTTAATGATGACAAAGGGCCCCTGTTAAACTGAAGACATGCTTGGGAAAGACTGCGATGACAGCTCCATCCCAGGGATTCTTAAACATTAGTGTGCAACAGAATCACATGCAATTTTTGTTCAAACACAGATTATTGCCCCACCCCACAGTTCCTGACCTAGCACATGTGGGTAGGGCCAGAGAATTTTGAGAACCACTGTTAGAGAAGGAATTCCTTGAGAGCCAGTTTAGCAAGCAAGGGAATGCTGAGGGCAGGAGACTGAAGACACCTGACTGGAAACTAGAGGCAAAGGAAGGTCAACTTCAGGGGCTAAGAAGCGATGCGGGGACTCTGCCACATAGCGTCAAAGCACCTGATCAGACGTTAGCTCAATCTCTATCTTTGGTGAACCACCTTCTCTGAGACAAACAGGACCAATTCCTCAAACGCCAGAAACTACCACAACTCACCCCGTACGAAATATCTAAGTTGAGCAGCTCTAAAACTATTTTTATAATTGAATATATAATTTGGAAACCTATTAAAAAAGTCTCCAGCACTCAGATGGTTTCACTGAAGAATTCTAGAAAAACATTGAAATCTATACAACCTCTTCCAGAATATAGAGGGAATACTTCCTGATTCACTTTATGAACCTGACATCAAAACCAGACAAAGAAAGAAAGTAAAAAGAAAGAGAACTACTGACCAATATCTCTCAAAAATATAGATGTAAAAATCCTTAACAAAATATTAGCAAATAGAATTCAGCAATATATAAAACGAATTACACACCATGACCAAGTGGGATTTATTCTAGGATGCAAGCCTGGTTCAGTATTTGAAAACAATCACTATAGTCCAGCATATTGACAAGTAGCGGTGTTGGAATGCAGGGGTCTCCACTGAGCGGTGCCTGGGATGAAGGTGGGGCGCGGCAAATCTGGGGAAGTGAAAAACGTGGACTCCATATACATGGCTTTTGTTCAAACAAAGTGCTGCGCTCCACACACATTAGGTGACTCCTAGGTTGTACAGCTAATGCTTGTCTGTCTGCTGAGCTGGGGCCACTGGAAGCACAGGGACCAACAGGGGAAAGGTTGGCTTGAGGTTCCAGGTGCTAAATGGGACAGTCCAATTCCCCAAGGTGAGACTGATCCCAAGAGTAGGGACCAAGAGCAAAGAAGAGGAAGAGAACCTGGAAAAAGTTGGCAACTCCTAAAATGCAAAGACTCTATTCAGCACAGTTT